CCCAAAAGGTCACGGGGCCCTTGCTTGGCCACAGCCACAGCTGAAGCCTTGGGTTCTTCTCAGCATTATTAAAACTGTGCAATACCGTTGCTTAAGTATGTGAAAAACTGAGGATATGAATAAATCTCATTTAAATACAGTTTACTTCAGTGGGGGGAATTAACTTACACGTGGAAAATAGTTTTGACGGGATTAAGGATGTGATCAAGTTATTCATTGCCTTGTTGTTACTTGCCTCCGTAGCATTAGCCATGGACAAAACAGAATTTCTATGTGTTTTTTGCGAGCGAGCGCCTGTTTCGGGATCCATTCAGTCTATACGTCATCACCCGTGACAAACCGGAGATCCCCACGCAGGCTGCTTCCCGCGGGGCTGCAGGCGTACGATGGCATCCCCGCTGCTGACACCACTCGTGTTTGCTCGCTGGTCCTGGCAGGAGGTGGCAGTGCTTTTGCTGCACAGTCAGTCCTCCTCTGTCACTGAGAGCCCCTCGGACTCCGCCTGACACCCCTGTGGTTTGTGGTGGGGGTGCATCCAGCTTGGTGTGCTGGTGCCGTCACTGCCTGGACACCAGGCGCCCGGGTTTCACCAAAGGGAGGGCGCGGGATCAGAGGGATGCAAAGCAGATTTGAACGCCGTGTTCAGAACAAAATGGACCGGGACTTACCTGCCTTTGAATATGCCGTATCATAGGCAGGGTCAGGGACAGTTGGAGGCAAGCTAAGCAGCTCTGAAGGCAGCCGCCTTGCCCGGAAGCTTTTCAGTTGGAAGGGCTAGCTTGGCTACCCAGATAAGCTACGAACCCTCTGAAGTTAACTATGAACTTACTGTTTTCTTGCTTCCTGCAGAACCTTATCAACTGCAACATTATTTCTGTTACAAAGGTAGGTGACACACGCGCACCTATGTTACATGCGTAATGTATTTTATTGAAAAAAAATCAGTGCCACACAAGAGTGACCAGCTATCCTTCCTCTGTATTTCCATTTAAGTTTCCAGCAGATAGTAATTTTCA